GTTTTTGTCTCGTTGCTCCGGCCGGACAGGGCATCACAATATGGTAAGGGGTGTAACATTTCTGTCATACGCTTGAGGTATTCGGGCAATCACAATGCACTGGATAGCTGGCCAATCAGAGCACACCTCGCTTTTCAGACCGATGAGCTTTGTAAAAATGTACGCGTTTCAGAAAGGCGGGGCATAGAGGAGAAACAATAATGTACAGTAAAGAGTCAGATTTAGACTCAAATCAGCAGAGTGTGGCTGCTCTCACTGAACAACGCTTAGATTATGCTGTCCACACAGGCCCCCTTCTCCACCTGCTGCCTGTTGTGCATCTCACAAGGCCGATATACCTATCGTGCAGGTGTTGTGTCCATAATGAGGTGGCCCCATGTTGTTTGCTTGGGCTGAGCCCAGTCACCAGGCACTCCTCTACAAGCTTCTCTCCCAGGCCTGATTTAAGGAGTGCACCTCGGTATACCAAGGCAAGGTCTCCCTCGCTTTTCTGAATTCCATAGGGTACTATGTTGGATCACACTTTGGCCTCTCACAGTCCTTTAGTGCTTCAGCCTTTCAAGCAATTTGCCTAGAGATCCCCTACCAGGAACTCCAGACAACACAGGTCCCAGGGTTGCTGAGGCAGTTTAAACCCTTCGCCATGTTGAGGTGGTAATCCGAGGAGGGTTTTGGATATTCATGGAAATAATCTTCGAGGAGTAGAGGGTGCCAGGTTTGGGAGCTATCTGTCTATGATTCTAATCTTCGGGGACCTTCAGCACTTACTTTGGTGGTTTGAGGCCAGGTGTGTTTCTCAGCCGGAAAAGGTGAATTGTCCTCTACGGATATAGATAGGCAGATCAGTGCAGAGGTGGTTATATCGGACCGTTGTGGTGAAGAGATTTACCAGTTGATCTTTATTCTGAGCTTTGGATAGTGACTGAAAGATAGGGTTTAGGGTACAAGGAACTGAAATAATCTATTTCATGCAAGGTGGATTGGCTAACCCTAAGAGACAGGCCACAAAGCCTGTCATCTGGGAGAGGCTTGGAGTAGCTGCTCCTCTGCATCAAAAGGAGCCAGCTGTGGTGGTTTGGTCAGGTTGTTTCTTGGATGCCTTCCTGTGGAAGTGTTTCAGGCATGTCCAACTGGGAAGAGACCCTGGGGCAGACCCAGGATTCGCTGGAGGGAATATATCTCCTGAGTTGCAAAAAACTCTGTATCTGATGCCATCATCCTGTCTGAAAGAAGCCCTAAGACTAGGATATAAATCTCTGTGTGCAAATTCCACCTTGGAGTAACGACAGTCCTGCTCTGAAGAAGATGAGAGTGGCAAGGAAAAAGTGTGGCGCTCTCTCCTCCCCCATGGCCTCAGGGATAGTGCTGGCTCCCTAAGGCTCAAGTTGGCGAGCTCCTCGAAGACCGCAGAAGTAATTTCCATCTGGTTTTAATTTGGTGTACTGACCAAACTACTGAATCCTTCAAACTTTTTTGACAGTCCTTCATATGGAATTTGATGGAATTATGGAATTTATGTCTCTCTACAATCTTTTTGTGTTTTAATTGTAACACTTTAGTTTAGGGACCAATTCTCACTATTAACTAGTTGCTTATTAGCATGCATGCTACTACAATATTGTCTGTTTTTTAGTACTTAAAAAGCACATATCAATACCTTATTCAGCATGACCATACTCTGCATCCCTCAATCCCACCTCATACCTAAACTTAACAACTACCTTATGTGACGGATCGGCTGTTTCCCCCTAATTATCATCATCACCCTGTCCCTTAATCGCCGCCCTTCACCAGGCTCTCGGCAGGAGTGGGTGTTTGAGAGAGGAGGGGCGCAGAAACAGCCAAGCATGTGATGAGGCACACCTGAAGTAAATGGAGTCTCGTTACCACCGCTGTTAAATGCCGAGTGTGGCTCTCCTCGAGAGACCGGTCTCTTCCCCCGTGCATGCACGCTGGTGTCGTCGTGGGTCCAGGAAGGGAGCGTAGAGGGATCCCGGACTGCCGAAGTTGTGAGCTGCCGGACCCTCGGTCCAGACATGAACCGCACCCGTTAGTGCGGCCAGGATGCCGGCCCGTTTATCCCTGCGAAGTGCCGTGGGCCAAGCAGGACGAAGCCGCTAGAAGAAGCCGCCGCCCCCTCGAGCCCCGGACAAAAGTGGGGAGCGCGTGTGGCCGCAGGACTCCGCCCCTTGCCTGGACCCTTCTTCCTGAACACTGCCCTTCCCTTCACGACTTCCGTGGCACAATGAGGACACCAGACCCCCTGTTTATTTTGGACACTAATTCCCCTCAGAACACTTTATTACCTTTTTGGACATTTTATGTTTGATTTTCTGTTCAATAAAAGCCTCTCCGAGGCCTGACGCCCAGTGTTAATTTTGACAGCAAATTTTGATTTAGTTTTAGTCATAGTCTTTTGACTAAAATGCCATTTAGTTTTAGTCATATTTTAGTCATCTGAATTGTTTTTAGTTTTAGTCTAATTTTAGCTGACTAAATATCATAATATTTTAGTCAACTAAATCTGCAGTAAATTTAGTCGGCTAAAATCTAATGGGTTTAGTTACAGTGCATTTATTAAGCATTTCTCAAAAATTTCCAAACTCATTATATAGATTTGATATTAAGGTTATATCATGATAGACACCGATTTAACTGCGGTGACACACAACATGCCTTTATGTTAAAATTAAATAAAACCACTTCTCATAAAGAACAAGAATGTGGTCTTATTTTTAATGAAATACCAATGGTTATATAGGCTAATTATGCATTCTTTATAACAACTTGTTT